TCTCCTCTCCTCTCCTCTCCTCTCCTCTCCTGTCTTCTCTTCTTCCCTTTTCTTTTCTTTTCTGTTCACCTAAGCAAGCTCGAATTGGGGTCCTTTCACTTGAAGCCCAGGGTTCCTCAGCAGCAGCACTATTGATATTTTTAACCAGATAGTTCTGGGTTGTGAGGGACTGCTCTGTGCATTGCAGGTTGCTCGTCCGCAGCCCTGGTCTCGTCTCTACCATCCCCAGTTTCATCTGCCCAAGCTGGGACAACCAAATATGTCCTCAGAAATTGCCAAGTATCTTCAAGGTATGGGTGTAAAATCACCTCACTTGATAATCGTTGGTCTAGTTTAATACCCACAGTGACGCTTGTTTTATTTTATTTTAATTTTTAATTTTTTTGAGGCAGGGTCTCACTATGTAGTGCAGGCAGGCCTGCAACTTAACAGCAATCCTTCTGCCTCAGCCTCCTGAGTGCTGGGATTACAGGTGTGCATCACCATGCTTGGCAATGATGCTTCTTTTCAAAAAATCAGGAAGATGGGGATAAGGAAACTGAAGTCCAGTGAGATAGTGGGATCTTTTCCAAAGTAACAAAGAGAGGCCTATCAGATCAAGCAAGAAGAGGACCCAGGAAATGATACTACAAAGAGGTGTTGGTATGTGAAGATATTGGCTTTCTTACAACGTTGAAACAATAATAAACTCCACAAAATAATTTGGGATTTTATCCATGACACACGAGGTAACTCTTTACCTGAAAATGCTCACACATCTTGCAAGAGTACTACCCATTAGTTTTATTTCTGTTGTTTTAGGTCTTTCTGGTGAATGGCCTGGAGCTTTGAGTTCAGTGAACTTTGACTGGTTGTCTTCAGAAGGCTCACCACCTGCCCTTCTGAAGCAGATAGCCAAGAGGCCAAACTTTGCTACAGTTAAAATAAGAAGATTCATTGCACAATGATGTTTGCATGAAGTTAGGAAAATACCATGAAGAATGAGCTTCATTTCTGGTACAGCTGTTTCCAAGCGGGTGCTTGAATGAGGGGGACGGTAAGGTAAAGAAGATTGGTGCGGGAACCTGGAGGTTTGCGAACCATCCTGACTGTGCCACTCACACTGTGTGATATTCCGAGGTGTTTGTTCTGCTTGTAGCCTCGGTTTTCTTCTCTGTATAATGAGAGTTTGAATTACACAAGCTTCCCAATCTTGTAGGCAAATGCTTCGTCTGTCTTTACAGCCTCATCTCCAACTCAGGACCTGGTTCAGCACTGGAAATTAAGTAAGTACTGAGCAAATGCTTATTAAATGCACAGATAAATTGCTTGGGAGATAATGACAATAACATCCTAGCTTTTAGATGCATCAACTTGGAATGGGTCTTAGAACTGGAAAGGATGGGAAAGTTTCTTCAATCTAATTTCCCAACCAGAGCTGGAATGCTCTACATTATTTCTGGTAAGTTGAGCGAATAGTGTCAGTTTAACTTATTTCTGACAGACGGTGAAGGAGTGCTCTATTAATGGAACTCCATCTCTACTTTTGGCTAGATCTAGATACGACGTTCTAGCCTCCTTGAAGCTGTCATCTGTCTCATGATTTATTTTTAAATTAGTTTTTATTTTAATCTAAGATACATAAACAGAGTTTGAAACATCAACTCACACTAAAAGTTTTGCTTAAAATGAAAAATAACGCTCCTCAGTCTTTTTGCTCCCCAGCATTACCCCCCAAGCCATTTCCCACTCTTTTTAGCTGTTTCTTCTGATACTTATACAGTAAGTCCTTGACTTATGAACGAATTCCATTGCAGAACAGTTGGTAAGAGAGATTCATCCATAAGTCCGACATAGTGAGTCTCACACGCCCTTGACACAAGTATACAAGGTAAAGCATGTAACACCAAACGTACACACATGCAATACAGAAAGTCCCCGACTATACTGTACTTCTGTGCGCTACTGCACTGTGCAGTAAGCACGCAGCGGACAACTGTGACAATGTCCAGCAGACGCGCAAGCTACTCCGTGATTTGTTCACATCTAGGAATGTTCACATAATGCCAGGTCCGTTTGTATCTGTGAAAGTTTGCAACTCGAATGTTCATAAGTCAAGGACTTACCATATGCACATTTCTAAATGATATGCTTATACAGTTGTTTCTTGGGTTATAACTTTAGGCAGTATCTACCAATTTCCAATGTTTATAGAAGAAGGTTTAATGCTCTTAACTAACAATTGCCAACTCTCTCTCCCTTTATCCTGTCACTATCCTATTACAATTTTGGCCTAAACTGGTATCCAGCATTGGCATTAACATGGCTATGTAAATATTGCTCCATGATAAGCCAAACAAAATACCATGTCTCTTTTTTGTACTCTTTCATTCTCCCTGGAGTTAATAACTTCTTTGATGAGTTTTCTATATATGTTATCTAATTCTTCCTAAATGTTTCAACTAAATTGTGTGTGTGTGTGTGTGTGTGTGTGTGTGTGTGTGTGTGTGTATTACATTTTCTTTACTTTTTTTTTCTTTTTGGTACTGAGAGTTGAACTCAGGACCTTGCACTTGTCAGGCAGGTGCTGTGCTGCTGAACTATATCTCCATCCCAACCTTTTCTTTATCCATTAATCTGAGAAGACACATAGGTTGTTTCTGTGTCTTGGCTATTGTGAATAACACAGTAATGCAGATCTCGCTTTGATATACTCTAACTGTATGTGTAGAAGTGGGATTTTTAGATCATATGGTAATTTTAGTTTTAATTTTTAGAGAAAACTCCATACTGTTTTCTATAGTGGCTGTATCAATTTATATTCATATCAACAGTGTACAAGGTTCATTTTCTTTACATCCTCATCAACACTTGTTATCTTTTGATTGTTGATAATAACTATCCTAACAGGTGTGTGGTCATATCTCATATAGTTTTGATTTGTGTTTCCCAGTTTGCTACAGTGACCTGGAAGTTTTCCCAAAGGCCCATATGGTAAAGGTGTGGCCTTAAGTATGGTGCTTAAGGAGTTGGTACAGCCTTTGAGATGTGGGGCTTAGTGGAAAGAAGTCAGTGGAAACCATCAGAAACCTTGGTATGAAAGGCAAGGATGTCTCCACACCCTCCAATCCTAGCAATAGGGTTTCTGTTTTGAAAGATTCCAAATAGTGTTATGCATAATCTTCCAGGGGCTTAAACCTGACATACAGACAGGTAAGCAGGGACAGGTTAGTAATCTCATGCATCATATTATACCCCCAGGGCTGGTAGAGAACAGTCTCACCTTAATCCCCTCAAGGCAGATCCCTTCTTGCTCTTGTTGGGAACCAGGTGAGGAGAAGTGAGAAACGGTCCCAGGCCTGAAGCCAAATCATTCTCATTTTTCAGAAGTGAGTTATACAATGTAGAAAGAGAGCTGGATTCTGAAATGTCCAGAATAATCCCTGCACATTAGGGCTGTAGTGAGGGCCTTTGACATGTAACTGAGGAGGTCGATGGAGACAGATCTTAAATCTATTCAGTGATGGGAGGGTGCCTCTAGCTCCAGATCCTGTACATGAAACAAGGCAAGGGAATTTGTCTTCCTACACCTTTTGGTGGCACTGCTAGGGAGGAAGGGTGTGATGCTGCCCCTTGAAGTGCCCACATGCTCCTAACACTGCTCAGCTCTCATCCCTACGTTCTCCCCAGCTCTTCCAGGCCCAAGGCGCTTTAGATAGATACATAAGGCTAGGTATTATCTGTGATTTCAGGTACCCACTAGGGTCTTGGAATGTATCCCCTATAGATAAGGGGAGATTATTCTATTTCCATCTGTTCTATTGTTCATGTGTCACTCAGCACTAATTAAGGAAGAATTTGGAAGGCTTGGAGAAGTGGGAGTCAGGAGGTCTTGGGTATCCATCTCCTGCTTGAGTTGCCATGTGACTTGGGACAAGCTTCTTCTGTCCTCTCTCTCAACCTCAGTGTCCCCTTCCCAGGGCCATGCAAGGGAAGTGCATTCTGTACCACAAAGCAAGAATGATCACTAAGTGAGGACATAAGTTGTGGACATGCCTTTGTCCAGCTTTCAGTGGCAAAGGGGAGAAAGGCCACCAGAGGAGATTCCAAGCCATGGCCTCCCAAGAGGCTGGGCTGCTTCTAGCCCACCAGTTGGGCCAGCACAAAACCCTGGCTTTTGTTTGACTTGGCTTCTTGAGCCTTGTTTAGTCTGCAGAGGAAGGAGTTTATCCTGCTGCTTTTGTCACAGGCCATTAGTACACACTTAATCCCTGGGGGTTTACAGCTGGCTACTTTCTCTAGGAATTTAGGGCGGGCCTCAGAGGAAGATCAGCTCTCATGAGCCACCAGGGCAGTCTCAGCTGAGAACCCATGGAACTGTGATCTATAATTCTTGCTGTGTGATCTTGGGCCAGTCCTTCCCCTTCTCAATCCACCCACCCATGCGCTGAGAGAACGGGCTCTGGTGCCCTTAAAAGGACTTCAAATTAATGAGGATCAGAAGTGCTTCCTGCATGGTTCCTCCCTTCAAGGCCTCCCTCCCCTAATCTTAAAGCAATTTGTCCTGTCTACTACCAGGTATTCACTGATCCCTCCCTGCCCTGAGCCTGGGGCCAATCCCTCTCTCCTTCAGCCTCCCACTTGTAAACTGGGGCTAATGATACCTGATAACTTACCCTGCTGCTACGGGGATTAACTAATTAGTGGTTATTAAGCAATGGTGGAATACAGGGTTCTGTTCCCATTTAAGGCATTTTCCCTCTTCTGATTCTCTGCTGCTGTCTGCACAATGTCAGAATGTTAAAGTGAGAAGAAACCCAAGAGTCTGACTTCCAGCACCCCTATCTCACAGATGGAGAAATCGAAGCCAAGCAGGGAGGAGGGAGAACAAACCGAAGAGAATGCAGCTGTCTTGCAGTAAGGAGGGAACCAGATGTCAAGACTCTGGACTTGTGTCTAGCACTTCTCCACCAAGCCCAGCGGTCAGGGCCCAGGGTTGTAGGGTGGTCCTTGTGTTAGGGTGGAATATGCACCCAAAGTCTCCTGTACAGGGCCTGGCTTACAGAAATTTGTTTTTAGCAAGTTCTAGCATGTGTGTGTGTGTGTGTGTGTGTGTGTGTGTGTGTGTACAGGGCCTGGCTTACAGAAATTGGTCTCATGCATGCTAGGTAAGTACTCTATCAATG